TTTGATAGTTCGGCAACAACAAGTGAGCACGTGTAAAGTGTGTGAATTTTTTCGTAAATATTTTAAAGGTAAGATTTTTTTGCGTACACTTTTGGTGTCTTTTACAGTTTCATTTTGTATTATAGCATAGTAGAAATTCCAAACAAATGCCGAAAGATATTTACAATTAACAGTATTTCTGAAAAATAACGTTTGAAAAAGTCATTAGCAATGTGTCATAAAACGTTCAGGAAGATGCGTTAGGAGGAGGACAATGTTTCATTTCTTCCTTGTGTTCCTTCCCTATTTCAGATTAACCCTATAAGTTTTATTTCTTTAAAGTTTATTTTTGTTATTTATAAACTTATAGCATTTTTTGCAGTATATTACACTGTTCTATCACAAAGGAAAAAAATCGATCAAATTGACCTGCCTGGATAAAATATATAAACAAAATGTACAGTTGTATTCAATAAAAAAGCGTACAAGAATTAGAATGAGAGAAAACTGTCAAAATAATATTATTGCTTAAAACCGGCTTATCACTGACATAAGTCATTAAAATAATTACTATAGGTTATAAAGAGCATTGACGTAGGTTAATTAAATATTATTACAAAAATTATTACCTTTTAATAATGAAAAAAACAAACATTAAAAAAAATTTAATATTTAGTCATCCCTGTTTTTCTATTACTTGAGCCAATCTATTTGGGATGAACTGAATTAAATTTAATACAATATTTGGATTAATATCTTCCCAGCAGTATAGTAGGTATAGTATAGTTGTATACTTTCCCATAAATCCTCAGATATCTCAAAAAAGCAGCATCCTGTTCAGGGGTGGACATTTTGGGACGACCTGAACCAACTTTTTGGTTTAAATCTTCCTGTTTCCAGCGTTGCTTAATTTTTAATATAGATTTTTTATTTATATTATACCACAGTACGAATTGATCATTCTTCTTTGATTCTTGATACTATTTGAGCCTTTTTAACTGACGAGGCATTTTTATTTTCTACTGTCAGTTATAGTGACTTAAGTCAGTGGAAAGCCGGTTTTACGCAATAATGTTGACAGTTTTCTCTCATTCTAATTCTTGTACGCTTTTTTAATGAATACAACTGTACATTTAACGAAAATTCGCCCAGGTGAAAAAATTGTTCAGAACGAATTTGTAGAACATTAAAAGATCTTCAAAATTGCTTATTGACTTTTTTTCTACGATTAGTATACAGGGTGTCCGGAAAAAGGAGGTCAATCCGTTAACCATGTATTCCTTGAGTTAAAACAATAAGACTTTTATAATACCATTTTTCAATTTAGAGCTTCATGTTCGATATACAGGGCGACAATGTTTGAAATTTAAAACTGATTTTTTTTAATAATTCGAGTAATTGATAAGATATTAAGTTCAAATTCGGTACACTTCTTTAACATAAATAGTTACTTCTTTTGAGATTAACAAAACAAAACAAAATTGTCAAATAATCAAAATAGGGGGGGTCCAGTACTCACTGACTCCCCCTATTTTTTAGTACGTGCGCCAATGACTTCCAAACTTTATTTTTTCAAGTAATCATTTATTGGTGATTATTTTTTGTCTCTTATAAAATTTTGATAAAATGATTTGTTTTAGAGATAATTTGTAAAGTATTGGTCCTTGATTGATGCCTACGCGGCTTAAGGCAATCTCATAATTTTCAAATACTCTAAATCAAGTGAGCCGCTGTGGCATTACCATTGATACAATCAAGTAAAATTTTGCAATAGGTAATAATACCAAAAACTAGCCAAAAATAACCCAATCTCAGTGACGCACAGATAAAATTAATACTAAACCAGAAAAATGAAATTAATTTTATTGCCCTATAGGAAGAACTTACAATAATTACTAATTTTCTTTACATAACAGTAAAACGCCACTATTATCGCTAGTTCAAGTCAATAATTTACTATCACTTTTTAAATAAATTTGAAGCATTATAACAAGCGCGCGTCCGAACGTGCTTGTCCAGCGCTAGAGGTCGGAGCGCGGTCACAAAAACATTTATAACTTTTGACCTATTACAAAATAATAACTTTTTTTACCAACATTTTTGTAAAATAAGATAAAATGTGAAAAAATTAAAATCCTAGCAGGCGGAGAAGTTTTATAAATTTTCAATTGTTTAATAAAAATAGCTTCATTTTTTTTAAAAGGTTTGCCCCTAACAACAAATTTTGTATCGTAAAGTATATTTTTCAACAAAAATTTTGATACAAAAAATGTTAAGTTTTAATGAAACGAAAAATCGATTTTTTGCAAAACTATTTTAGGAAAGTTTTTTTTACCCCTAAACCGATTGAGACCATCAATTTTTAAGTGGCACACAATTTTGAGCCAGTAGAGACGCATTATCAATTAAATTTTAAAGTCAATGTGTAATTTTACCAGAAAATTTGACTGGTCATTCATTTTTGATATTTCTTCAAAATACACAGCCCCATTTACTTGATGATTTGCCTCTACTGGTAAGACAAAATATTTGGTTTCAACTAGACGGTGCTCCTCCGCATTTTGCTAGAAATGTTAGAAATTATTTACATCAAATCTTTCCTAATCAATGGATTGGTCGGGGTAAATATGCTCCTGTTAAATTTCCACCCTGTTCCCCAGACCTTACCCCCTTGGACTATTCGGTATGGAGATGTATGATGGATTTTGTGTATATGCCATATACACAAAATCTATCATACATACTATATGGTTCCGATTTTGAGCAAAAATCATTTAAGAGAAAGAATCCAAATATTTTTCGTAGGCTAAGATTTTCTTTAATAAAGAGGGCTGTGTATTAAAAAAAATATATTATGTTTTGGTTACTACTAGGAAATAATATGTTTTAAATAATTGTTATCTTGTTATAATGCTTCAAAAGTGATGGTAAGTTATTGACTAGAGATATTAGTGGCATTTTACTGTTATGTAAAGAAAATTAGTAATTATTGTAGGTTCTTCCTAGGGCAATAAAATTAATTTTATTTTTCTTGTTTAGTATTATTTTTATCTGTGCGTCACTAAAATTGGGTTATTTTTGGTTAGTTTTTGGTATTGTTACCTATTGCAAAATTTTACTTAATTGTATCAATGATAATGCCACAGCGGCTCACTTGATTTAGAGTATTTAAAAATTATGAGATTGCCTTAAGGCATCAATCAAGGACCAATACTTTACAAATTATCTCCAAATCGAATCATTTTATCAAAATTTTATAAGAGACAAAAAATAATCACCAATAAATGATTACTTAAAAAAATAAAGTTTGGAAGTCATTGGCGCACGTACTAAAAAATAGGGGGAGTCAGTGAGTACTGGACCCCCCATATTTTGTTTATTTCACAATTGTTTTTTGCTTTGTTGTTCTCAAAAGATGTAACTATTTATGTTTAAGAAGTGTACCGAATTTGAACTTAATATCTAATTAATTACTCGAATTATTAAAAAAAATAAGTTTTAAATTTCAAACTTTGTCGCCCTGTATATCGAACATGAAGCTCTAAATTGAAAAATGGTATTATAAAAGTCTTATTGTTTTAACTCAAGGAATATATGGTTAACGGATTGACCTCCTTTTTGCGGACACCCTGTATAGTAATTTAGCCGCTAAATGTAAAAATATCAAATTTGTTTAGAATGTATACGTTTCAACGTTAATAAAAAGAAACAGTTGAATCTACAGATTGGACTTTTTTGTAGATAATTTAATGCTTAAAAGCTGGTCCCTTAATTGTTTATCAAAAAAAGTGACGAGAATTTCACATAAATTTGAAAAAAGAAAAATTTTGCCTTATTTTGAAACACCCTAACCAAAAATTTGGAATATTTCAAAATAGAAGCAAATGTTTTTTATTAAAAAATGAAACATTTTAAAAAGGTAACCAAATATTAATTAAAAGAGAAAATTGGGTTGATTATCAAATATTACAAAAAATGAATATAATTTGGAATATTCCAAATAAGCAATATAAAGTCCTACTCCATAGTACGTACAAAAAATGCTTTAATATATCGAAAAAGTACATTTAACAACTAAAAATATAAGCCTTTACTTACCTGAGGATCCAAATAAAGTTAATTTAAAAATAAAAATCGAAGCTATGATTGCCGATTTAATTTCCACTAAAAAAGTTTTAGTCACCCCTCAATTAATTTTTCACATGTGTTTGCCCTCTATCATAAATCAAAATAACTACAAAATCACATGTCCACAAAATATAGGCTAGACTAGTAGTTTATATCATATTTAACGAGATGGCGCTAAGCATACACTCAAAAAAATATTTAGTAAATTTACACATCTGATCGTTGGTTATTTTGATGCCACGTATTTAAATGTATATGTACAAACATACTGTAAAACTACATATAATGTGTAAAAATGCAAAGGTCATGTAAATGTAAAATTTAGGAAAATAATAGTACAAGTACATTAAAAATTGTAAAAGCACATAAATTTAAGGATTTATTACATAATAATATGAAAAACTACATTTTAATTTAAAAAAATACATACATTAATGCTATTTTACTTATGTAAGTATGTGTGTACATGTTTTATATGGAACAACACATTTCTTAAGTAAAAAAACAGAAATAAATGTGTGTTTGGATGTGTAAAATTTCGTAAATTTTTTTCAGTGTAGCTTCAATAATTAAGTATTCCAAATTACCAACAGTATTTCGAATTACCCCCCACTTCCTCTACTTAAAAAAAAAAATTTGGTTACGTAAATACCAAATGATTAGGAAAAAATAGTAACCCTGTTTAAAATTAAAAACAAAAATACTTTAACTTTAAGTTATTATTAAGTTTTGATATAAATACATATCAATTTTAAATAATTAATTATCTATTATATCTTGAAATATAATAAAAAAATATAAAAAATTATAGTTATATTTGAACACATATTCAAAGAAACTTTTTTGGTTAAAATAAATTTCCAGCTACTAAAACCTTATTTTAGGCAACATACCTTGGCTTTCCGAGTGTGGGTCTCTTAGACGGCCACCTTTTCGTCGTACTTTGCTGTATTCGGGCTCTTTGCTCTAGAACATAAAAATATTTAATTTTATTTAAAGTTATCCAGTTGTCATACTTGTCATATCGTGTCATATCGTATTTATGGTGCTGGTTAACTTTTTAGGAGATTGTAATTTTGAAAGGGATAAGTAAAACATCTGTACATGATATTGTATACCTACAGCTAAAAGCTTCGCAAAGTTTACTAAAGTGATGTAAAACAAAAGTGCAACAAATATACATATGTATGCCTTCATAATTTTATATATATGTCTAAAAATGCTTACTGAATCATTAACAAGCGAATTAAAAACTATCCCTGCGTTTTAACAGGAAATTAATATTAACAAAAATTAGTATTTATTGGATGTTTGAATAAATGTTTGCATCACTTATTCATGTAAATTTCACGTCGTTCCTGACGCAAGGTCTTTTATAGGGTGTCCCAGAACTTGCGTCACAGAAAAAAGGAACGTGCCGAGAGTAATGCGAAACACATATATATTTGAATATATTTGAAAATTAAAATGGTCTAAAGCAAAATATAAGCGAGATAAGAATAAAAAACGATAGCCAATCCCAATAGATCGCCATAGAGATTTCTTTAAATGGCTAGGATACACTGTGGATATTAAAAATATGTAAAATATTTGATTGACTGGAATCCACTTTATTGTGACACTGCTGTCAATTTTTGTTCCAGTCATTATATATATAATTTATTTCCACCTTCTTAGTAAATGACATTTTATAGGTTGTAGGTTAATTTTGTTGTTTTTGTAAACGATACATTATGTAATATTTTACGGGCTTGTATAAAAGACCTGTAAAGTTTTACAGGGTTGTAGAAAAGCAATTTATGAAATAAAATGTCTGATTAATTAAAATTTTAAATTTAAAAATTCCAACTCGCCAGTAAAGATTCATTTACAAAGCTTGACACGTAAATAACTATTATTTCCACCTTCTTAGTAAATTATATTTTATAGGTTAATTTTTTTGTTTTTGTATCCAAGAAAACGTTACATTATGGGAACAGACCTGTAATATTTTACGGGCTTGTATAAAAGACCTGTAAAGTAAATTAGTATTTTAGACCCTTTTTTAATAAAAAAATTTGTGGTGAAATTAAACAAATTGTGGCACAAAATAACACAACATGGTTTAAACATAATTTGTCCAATTTATTTAACCCTGGAGTGGTGGCGCCGAGTCTGCGAGCGTTTTAAGATGGGTGGGAAAAGAGCAGGGGTGCAGATTAGGGTGTTTCATTTAAAACGAAAATTTTTTTTTTCTTGCTGACAAATGAAAATTTTGTTTTTTAGGTTGAAAAAAAAATTCCCTGAAAATTTGAGCCCATAATTTTGATTCTAAGTACTTCCTTTTTAATTTTGTAGTTTTTCCATATAAAAGCATGTATTTTTAATCATTTTTACTTTAAATTTCTATATGTTGGCCGGGTTTTGAATTATAATTTTTATCACCATAATTTTCTGCATAGTATTCACGGTTTTTGAAAGGCCCTGCATCAATTTTGTTTTTGATTTATTTACGTTGATTGTAGTAGCTTCAAAAATCGTTTTTTCACTTTATTTCACCGAAAAAGTTCAAAAAAAAAGTTGTAGAAAATTTAATTTTTGACAAAAAAGGTTCTCACGTTTATATCAATAAAGTGCTTTGTTTAAGAGATATAAGCAATATACAGGGTGTTATGTAATTAATGTTATATATTAAAATACTGAATACCTTTTGACATAAGGTGTAATGGAAAAATATTTTAAAAGATATTTCCCCGAAGATAAAGAAAATATATGCATTAGAAGTTTTTTATATTTTTTGTGATACGCCACTGGTTACACACTTGTGTTCTGTGAGTACATAGATACAAACCAACAAAGTAGCTGCGCGTTGCCAGTTGTAAAAAATTGTTACTAAAAAGTTTTCTTGCATAAAATAAATAAATACAAAAGTTTTAAGCCCTTAAAGTTCTAATACCATTCTGTATTTATTTACTCATCCAGCTATTAACTTAAGCAATGATAAGAAAAATTAGTACCTATTTAAAAACTCCATAAAATTAATTTTTTCATCGGTTTTTTTCTTTCTGTTTACTCAGATGAAATTAGGACAAGTTCACAGGTTAATCGTTAAACATTCAATTTGTGTAAATAAATCCAAACGCCCAAAAGCACTTCCCTTAGTTAAGATATTTACAATTTAAGCACATAACCTACAATTTTTTGACAGTGCTACCAACCAACATAATAAATTAAACCAGATTAACTTAAAGTAAAGTAAATCAATACGAATTATGAATAAAGTTTAAATCTGGTGTGTCTAAATTGAAATATATTTTTTATAAGTATGTTTTTAAACCACAATGTTAAAACGATTTTTAAAAAATCATTAGTTTACAAATTTTTACAAGGTCTAATTAGTGATCTAGCAATTTCAGGTTTTTATTTTTTTTCAAGTTTTTTCAGGTTTTTATTCTTTTATAAATATTTTGAAAGTTAGAAAATTTGTATTTTATTAGTAATAATAATAAGTAATTAGTGCGAAAGATTTTATGCTATGGCGGGTCGGGCGCTCACAAATATTCAATTAACAAATATGGTTTTGTGTTACGGGGAAGCGATGCAAAATGCTCGTCAAGCAAGAATTTTGTAGGTAAGTATATTCAAAATTATCACAACGCCAATCACGGACATCCACCGCCCTCGGAGCAAAGTTTTGTACGTGCTGTGCAAAATTTAAGGGACCGCGGAAGATTTAGCGCATTTGTTGGTGATAGCTATCCCCTAGGGGTCGGGCTCAGGGACGTGAATTTGTGGCCCTTGAAGAACTAATTTTGGACGAAGTGGAAGCAAATCCGAGAATTAGTACAAGACGATTAACTGCCCAACTTGGACAAATGTCCAACTTTGTTACGTGGCGCACGATTCACGAAAATAGTTTGTACCCCTATCACCTACAAAAAGTTCAAGCTCTTCAGGATGCAGATTATGCACTGCGGTTGGAATTTTGCCATTGGTATATACAGAAAAATCAAGAAGATGCTGATTGGAGCCATAGTGTTTTCTATACCGATGCTTCGCATAGTTTAAGCTTGCATTCTAAATAATGAAATCATTTTGAGCATCTCAAATAAGGTAATACATTTTTAATTTTACATTTGGCAACACTGCATTAAAAAGTAATAGGTAAGGTTAATCCGCGGTTCTTAGTCGATCAGTGGCGTACTTTTTGGTAGGATAAAGGTTATTATAAATTATTTTTAGTCTTTGAAATTTAGAAAAAAAAAGTTTCAGGTGCTTCTTTATGGACCCTAAGGAACTACCCATTTTAATATATAACATTAATTAAATATCACCCTGTATAGTTGTTGAATCAAATTACATACATGTATACATAAATTTCAATAAAACCTATTTTTTCTTTGTTTTTGGTTATTGAATTGCTTATATCTCTTAAACAAAGCACTTTAGTGATATGAACGTAAGAACCTTTTTTGTAAAAAATTAAATTTCCTACAACTTTTTTATTTGAACTTTTTCGGTAAAACCAGTCATTCGCTCGATTTTCTCAAAAATATGTAAAATAAAGTGAAAAAACGACTTTTGGAGCAACTACAATTAACGTAAATAAATCAAAAACAAAATTGATGCAGTGCCTTTCAAAAACCGTGAATACTATGCAGAAAATTATGGTGATAAAAATTATAATTCAAAACCCGGCCAACATATAGAAATTTAAAGTAAAAATGATTAAAAATACATGCTTTTTATATGGAAAAACTACAAAATTAAAAAGGAAGTACTTAGAATAAAAGTTAAGGGCTCAAATTTTCAGGGTATTTTTTTTTCAACCTAAAAAACAAAATTTTCATGTGTCAGCAAGAAAAAAAAAATTCGTTTTAAATGAAACACCCTAGTGCATATATATAAAACCGATTCTCAGTACCTTCTTAACATTCAGTACATTACCGTTTGTAGCAGTTAAAACATAAGTAATATTTTTCTATAAGACTTGGTGTGCCTTTTGAGTCTGGCAGACTCGGCGCCACCACTAACGTAACATTAATATCGTTTAGTATAGATATAAATATTATCTCTAATTTGCTTGCTTCCTGTTTACCTCGTAAAAATGTTTTCCCGGTAAGTATACTTTACTATTATAATAATAGACCTCTATTTATTATAATAGACCTATTTTCACCAAATTAAAGTTAATTAACATAATCATGATAATATTCAACATATTAATAATAATAATACAAGTTATGACACGTTATTTCTGCAAAATTTGTAAAAAATATGTGTGTCTCAAACATGCAGAATTTCGTTGCCCTGAATGTGTGGCAACACCGCAATTTTTTTTAAATCTAGTTCCTTATGTACGTTTTAGGAAAAAATATTTTTTTGTTTTTTTTATGCTATAATAATACATTTTTTACTTTTGTTTACCTCTGATGTTTAATTTGTAAATTATAGCCAGTTTGTATTTTCAGGTATTTTTCATTTTAAAACAATTAAACTTGTTCAAAAATATATACATATATTAAAAATGTATCCAAATAAGAGGAACAATAGCTAAAAACAAAAATATATATAATAGTTACCGATAATCATATTTTTTAAAATTGAGTCTGCCAGGAGGCGCCACCACACCAGGGTTAAAAATTTTAATAATTTTTGGGATGCAAGGGTGGTAAAAAGGAAAATAAAACTAAATTATTAATTTAGGTACCTGTATTCAGCGATTTAAACAAAAAATATGAAAAATAGAATACCTACTTAAACCTAATATAAACTGACACTGACAACATAAAATAAACATAGCAAAACATAAACTACAAACTAAAATTCGTATAGCTAATTTTAATAATATTGAGATATAATTTAACATGAAGTGCATCTCCATGGTGCAAGTGCACTTATAATAGTACAAATGTCGATAGATTCAATATGTCATTATTATGTAGATATAAACATAACTATGTTTCACGTGATTAATTTAATTTTTG